GGGTTCTGTTCTTCCGAACCGGTTAGATATGGTCGAGTTGGGCTAGTTGGACTGGGCTGCAAAGAGAGAAAACCAGGGATCTTTTTGGGTGTTACCTTGCTAACATGTGAAAGAGAGTATTAGTTTCAATACAAAGTGTAGTGACTAGGTCTTATCTGACAATGTTTAACTTGATTACAAAAGATTAAGCAAATAAAGCAAAAACAAGTCAACACAAACCTGTGCATCATACATGACAAGGGCGGCATAAACAACTGCTAAACCAAAGACTGCGTCGGAGAAACCCCTGAATTCACATTATGCTCCAATCACCAAACATGGGTATGAAACTAGACACAAAGAATAAGCAATGAAATGCAAATCTCTTTAGTTTCATCTTACAGATAAATGTACAAAAGCATAGTAGCATTCTACCTTTCCAGGCCAATGCAGGTGGCTGCTGCAACAGCTGTCTATCATTTGCAAATAGCTGAAACTTAGTAAGGTAAAACTAAAACCACAAATAATAGTAATAAAAACAACAATTATAAAAGAGAAAAAACAACCAACCCAGTAAAATCCCACAAAATGTAGGGTCTGGGGAGGGTGCGAGTGTGCTTTGTGGGAAGAAAAAACAAAGAAAATCTTACAGAAGAGTGTGAGGAAGGGAACCCTCCAGCCTGAAAGGCTTCCCTAATATCGAAATCATGACCACGAAATAAAGCTGATGTAAAAGGTTTGGAAAGTTGCCCAATTGCCGCAGACAGAGCAGCGGCTATCAAAACCTGAATGGTGCTCATAACACGGTAAAAGGAAAACAGAAGTTCCATAAGAATATCTTTGCATGCTCAGTTGAACTATGAGCCTAATGCCAGCGAGAATAGTTTTGTTAGGAAACACTAGAGTTGATGAAGCTTTTTCAGTGATCATGCTCCTCACTAGCACCACTATTAACTTCAATTGAATATAGTAATGAAATATACAATAACAACAAACCCAGTAAAATCCACCAAATACTAGGGTCTAGGGAGGGTGTGTGTACACGACCTTACCCCTACTTGATAGTAGAGAAGCTGTTTCCAAGACTCAAGACTCAAATACAAAAGTACAGACTATGGACAAAGAAACTAAAGTAGCACAAACGAAGTACGGGTATAGACAAAAGAAGCACCCATACCAACTCTAGCAACTAGACCCAAAGAACAAAAAACAAGCACAAGTTACAGATCATGACAAAACACACAAGCATAAATTCTCATGTCTACCCAACTACTATAGTCCTAAATCTCCACATGTTCATATCTAAGGTCATATACTCGATAAGATCCTAAAGTCGTATGTTTTGTGTTATCACCTTTCTTCCCAATTTCCTTTATCTCCGATGGAGCCAAAATTTTACCATTTTTGGCTTTGGGGTGTGATGGAATAAATCAAAATGGATCTCTAAACTATCTGCGCTTCTCTAATTAATGAAGTAGCAGTTAGTCAAGCAATGCAACTTTCGACGTTGAGCCGGGGGTCTCTTTGGAAACAGCCTCTCTACTTTCGAGTAGGGGCAAGGTCTGCGTACACACACCCTCCCCAGACCCTACTCTTATGGGATTTAACTGGGTTGTTGTTGTTGTTGTACCTTTCTTCCCACTCTTCCTAGGTCTACCTCTACCCGTTATCGCACCTACTACAGAAAGCCTCTCGCGTCTCCTCGCCCAAGCCTAGCTTCTCGCACCTTACCACTCACATCCTTCCCCCTCGTTCCGGATCTTATACAAAAAGCGAAGCAAGGCTTAAGAAGCTAGCCGCAACTTTGTTAATTAAGAAGAGCGTTAGCATACCAAACGACCAAATTCATCTTGATTACCGGAAAAATAAAGTAACAATAGAAGTGAAAACCTTTCTTTACCTTGTTGTGGAAGATATCTGTGATTCCTCCATTGCCTAGAGATGCTGATGTAAAGGAACGACCAAGCGAGGAAGAAATACCTCCAATCTGTGCTGCCTTGATCATTTCAATGCTGTTTTTTGGGTATTTGGTTTCCATGCGAGATAAATTCATATAGCTACAGTTCGGAAAAGCAGCCGGAGAACTCCAACTCAGGCTCAATATGGTCATATCGCGGTATCAGTGTTCCCTCCCCAACAGGCGGCACATCCCCCACTCCTCAGGAAATCAATCAATCAAATCATCTGCAGGATTCTCAACTCATCAGATTTTAGAAATCAGAAGCGTGCTATCAGCTATACACAAGGCAAATTGAGATATCGGATTTCTGCTAGGAGATATGGGGCTGTTAAGGTTAATCTCTCAATTATTCCCAAACATGCCCATGATAAACAAGTTGAAAAATACTTCGTACCTAGATTTTGAAATTTGATATGAATTTGTTTGGAGAGATTTTAAATTCATGATTTAATTAGTGATAAGTGAAAGTGACTGACAACGAGAGTGGTTGGTGGTAACAGTGGTTGCTAGTGGCGGAAAATGATAAACAGTTAAGAGATATCAAACCTTCATATTGTTATCTTCCAAATTCGGGAAATATCGAGACCCTCTATTTTAAATATTTATGATATCAGGAGATATCGAGTTTGATATCTCTTTTGGTTTCACCAAACTTCGTAAAAAGATTTTGATATCAAGAAATATCAAAACTCAAATCATGTTTGCTCACCAAACACACTTTTACTTTTGTTTTGAACAACTAAAAAATAAAAGGCCAACTTTAGTATTCAGAAAAAGAGTCTGCTTGTGGTGCCCAAAGATACTCTGTTTCACACAAACAATAAGTGTATGTGTGTTTCTGAGAAAAGTAGTGTACATACATTGGTACCTCTAAGTTTTTTCCATTCGAAAATGGCGTCTTGATCTAAATTTTGGTTTTGAACAACTAAAAAATAAAGGGTTAAAATGAGCAGCATTTAGATTTGGCGGTTGGCTTCTTTTCCTTTTAATACCCTTTTTTTTTCCTAATTTCTCCTCCATTCCAATTAGGCAATTTTTTTTCTTCGCTCCCAGTCTCCCACACCTTTTGCTCAGCCACATCCCTTCATTGTTTAACTCATACTAAGTTTTTTGTTAAAATAAACGAGTTACTAATATTTCAACGATAAAAAATGGTTAAATATTTTAAAACAAGAGACAATGCACATGTATATTTATCCAAATTATACCCAAATCGTTACACCATACCAATTAATATCAAACTATATATTACTGAGATCAGTACAAGTATGATATAAAATCTTAAATTGCACGCTTACTATTCATATTATCAAATTTTACTCACGTTCTTGATCCATTTTCAATAGCCATCTGAAAAATATAGTCTTGTCACTTTTTGTTTTGTAAAACTTTTAATATATAAAAACTTTATTTTTTAATTCCATATTAATTTTCAAATAAATTGATTTAAAAATACCTTTAGTCAAACTTCGTAAAACTCTTTTTGGGACAAAGGGAGTACAAAATTAGGAATAATAAACATGATTGAAAGAAAGTTCCCAAAATAAATGTAAGAAAGCCAGTAAGATGTTGGACAAATTAGATAGCCAACCAAAGGAGGAGTATTAACTCATGAATCACCGTATAAAAGCTTCATATTTCAGGGGAGCTTTTTGTCAAGTTAAGTGAGAACAAAGGACAATCCCATATTAATTTGAGCTTCGATCATAACAAAGCACTTTTCTTTTTATATTTTTCATCATTTTTCTTAGACTCGATTAACGGGGCATGTGTCAGCCCTTCATTTCCGTTTTTGTGACTTCAAATGAAAAACTAGCTTCTCTCAGGATTTTAGTTGCATCCTCTGGGAAGACAGGATTTATATAACATCCCGTGCCTAACTCGAAACCTCCCACCCCAGATAGCTGGGGCACTATTTGGAGATACCAGTGGCAGCTCGGTAAACACGAAGGATCGACATTGAATGGAGAGGTGTGAATCATGAAGTTGAATGGTGGATTGTTCAGCTGCGAGGACACCTTCAAGAGCATTAGTTTCAACTGTCCTGCGAGATCAAATGCCTGCACATGAATTACACAAATAAAGCATCCATCAAACAAGGGCTAGAGCAGAGAATGAAATTGAAAGAAAAGGTGGTCATGTTGTGTAGGAAATAGTTTCCTGCAAAATGTTTTTTCCTCTCAATGATTTGTATGTGTTTGGCAAGAGAAATATTTTACATCAATCTTTAAATGTCGAGTGAATTGCCAAAATAGCCCTTTAAAATGGAGTGTTTTCCCAATTCATTCCTCAATAAGCAATAATTACCCACGTGGTACTTTATGATTGAGATTTATTCCCTTGGTAATCCTCCGTAAAAAAATGTCCATCAAATGGCTATCACGTGTAACGTATTTTGCTATTTTTCATCGTCTAAACTCATTTCATGCAAGCAAGAAGAGAATAGTAGGTTAGTAGCACTTTAGAATTTAGATCGGAAGTGCTTAACTATTGTGCATGGATGTGCTAGTATCAATGGATGATGAAGCATTCTATCGTATTAGGAAGCACTTCAAACTTCATTCAGTTTTCACAAACTAAAATCGCCTCTATAAGTTTCGGGGACAGTAAAATCATCAATTACCTTCTCACTGTCCAGTTCGTGAAAATAGGCAGAGTGATCGCGGGGGATAATCCATATTTCAAAGGGAAAGTTAGCAGCAAATGGAACCATTGATGTGAAATAGGCTGATTCACTGATTATAGGGTCATCAGCACGAACACTGCAGAGTGAACAGCTCCCTGTTTGTTGGAAATATTCCTTCATACTGTTGAGACGTGCAGAAACGGTGGGAGGAACAATAGGAAGAGCAATGATCTGGCTGTGAGAATGACTCATGGATGCTCCAGCCGAGGCCCCATGGTTTTTGAAGACCTGCAAGTTGAACCCCGCGTTCAACAATAAAATAAGTTCTCAAGATCAGATAAATCTGGCAACAGTTATTAACTTCAGTATAATGCATTTGGAACTGTGGAAATTCAAAACAATGCACAAGTCGTAAATATATTATGCCATTAAGAACCAGAGGTTTCTTCATAAATCCTAGGTGGTTGGATCTTATGGCAAAGGTTCGGCTTATATATTATTTGAAGATTTAGAACTCTCAACAGAGTAAAAAAAACTGCGAAGAATAACTATCAAACATTTGTTACAGAAATTCATCATATTCCAAGTGAACTCAATGCCTATTTAAGTTGATCTTGGCAATAAAACTCTAGCTCTAGTCAATGTCATCTCATAAGATTTTCCTATGATTCTCCTTCAAGTTTCAACATACATTTTCAGGCATCATCCCAAGAAAACAACACACGAACAAGTCTTTATTAAGACATATAAGCTTTGATCAATGTCTTCTAAGCTTTATTTTTATATTGTACATAATATGAAGTATAAATGTATAATAAAGCTCTGATCATTTGGGTTAGAAAAGTAAACTTTCAATTGTTTCCAACTCCTTCCAGTTTCTTTAACTCCTTCAAGTTTCTTCCAACAACGACTAAAAAAAGTATTTACATATGATATATATACAATAACATCATATATCCAAATTTATAACATATCACCTCAAACGCAGACAGAGATGAATTATCTTTTCATCCAAAATTAGTTTTCTTACATCTTTATTTGGGTGATTATTTAATTGAGTGATTTTTTTAACACTATCTTTTCCAACATTTTCCAAACTCTTTCCAGTTTTTCCCCCCAATTTCTTCCCGTTTTTCTTAACTCCTTCCAGTTTCTTCCAACTTCTTCCGAACATCCAACTATGTTTTTACAGCCCAAACGGACAGAACCTAAGTTAATATCCAATGTGCAGATTGTTGTGATTGTTATTTGAACCGTCCTAAAAGAACATATGCATTGTTCAGGGATGAAATGATTAGTATTCATAGAATGCTGTGTGCTGCTAATACCAAGTAACGAGATGGGGGGAAAAGCTTGAAACCTGAACATATTTGATGGAACCATTGATGCGAATCTGGTCGATCCTAGTTTTGAAAGCCAGAAGAACATCCCTGATCTGAGCCTGCAAAAGATCACTAAGATGAACGGAGTGAAGCGGCGACTCAATCACCACATCGTGGAACCCGAATCCGCTCACTGAGACGTCTCCGACCAATGAATCGTTGCGATTCTCGTCCTGGAAACGCAAGTCCCTATTGAGCGCCGGGTAAAGGTTCTGGATGACTCTGATTCCCCAATCGGCGGAGGAATCAGCTGGGACGCGGAATATCTCGGGCGCGCATTCGTGCTCGTGACCCTTGCAGAATGGGCACTCCGATCGGTCGTTAGAGTTAGGGCTCGATTTCGCCTTGAAGTCTGACGGCCGTCTTGATCTCGCCGGTGAGAATATCACCCACCGGTCGTTGATTCCGTCCTTCCGGATTTCGGG